TGTATAAAGACTACCTGCCTATAGTGACCACTTTTAGGTAGTCCCAAGGTATAACATGAGCAACCTGTGTATAAAGACTACCTGCCTATAGTGACCACTTTTAGGTAGTCCCAAGGTATAACATGAGCAACCTGTGTATAAAGACTACCTGCCTATGGTGACCACTTTTAGGCAGTCCCAAGGTATAACATGAGCAACCTGTGTATAAAGACTACCTGCCTATAGTGACCACTTTTAGGCAGTCCCAAGGTATAACATGAGCAACCTGTGTATAAAGACTACCTGCCTATAGTGACCACTTTTAGGTAGTCCCAAGGTATAACATGAGCAACCTGTGTATAAAGACTACCTGCCTATAGTGACCACTTTTAGGCAGTTCCAAGGCATAATGTATGAGCAACCTGTGTATAAACACTACCTGTTTTATGTGACCACCCTTTCGGCAATATTTTTGCAGACTTGTCTTTGACAAAAATAATAATTAACATTCAGTTATAAAACAAGTCAACCTTATTTGAGTTTTATTTTGATCAACTCAAATAATGAGTTGACACTATCATCTTATTATTCCCAGGACCAGTATGTCTAAGGTATGAGTTGCCGACTAATAAAAATGTAAAAATTCAATATTTATATAAAGACAATTTTAAAATTAATGATAATTAATAATTAATTTCACTGTATTTGCACAAGATTCATTTATTTGTGATGTACTAATGACATTTTATTTTTAGATTGATTAAAAAAGATTTACAGAAAAAATGTTGTTAGTGAGAGTGATCAGTGTGGTTGAACGTGGTCATAGCATTGATTGCTCTCAAAGTTGTGTTAATAAAATATGAACTTGATTTAAAATTACACAGTCAGTACATACTAAGCAATGCTTAAAAACAAGGATTTATACGATTAGAGTATACTAATTCGTGTCCCAGATTGTTTTTGGTAGTCAATTTGCATATTCACAAAACGTTTACGTGTGTTCGCATATTTCAATTTTCGCAATTGAAATTCAATTGTGTTTAGTTACAATATGGGTTAAAAGTACATTTGATTGAATTCATTTTTCAGTTCGGTTTATTTTCGCTCGGAATTAATTTTCTATTTTCGCTGAAGATAAAAAATAGATAAAATCCAGCGCATATACTGTTTTTCGTATATTTTACACTCAAATCGTCAAAAATCAGTGAAAATAAAATCTATACAAAACACCCAAAAAGTCTTTTCAGAGAAAATTTATTCCAGCTAAAATAAAGTATTTCACAGTGACTGTGTGTGTTGCTTTAAACATTGCTTAGTTTGTATATTTCTATCTATAATTCTGTAGGTTCATTTAATATACCGTAGTATAATTTGACAATTTTCTTACATATAGACGTAACCACTGTGTTATTATTTGCAGGCACCACCTGATGGTATCACAGGAGGTCTGTGTCCAGCCGGTGGTTACTGCCCAGCTGGTTCAGCTGTACCTGCTCCATGTCCAGTTGGCTATTATAGTAATTCAACTGGATCTAAAAGACCAGAAGACTGCATAGCCTGTGATCCAGGGTAAGTGCTGTAAATTAACTTTAATTAAGTCATGATTTACTGTAAAAGTATTAATTATTCACTGGGTTTCAATTTTGCTTATTTCGCTGACTGAAAAATGTGCTAAATTAAAACCCAGTGAATATGTAAAACTTAGCATAGAACACATTATCTAAATTATGAAACCGTGAATTTAAAACCCACTGAATATGCCTGAAATGGTAAATCAGCGAAATTTAAACCAAGTGAAAATTAGTCATTTTACAGTAATCTGTGAAACATTTGGATTTATCCCATTATCAATCAATCATAAATTGTAAGACTGACTGCATATGCTAGGCCTATAAATTCAATTCTATTTTCAACCATGCGAGTGATTGGAGTGATTTGAATTTGGTGGGAACCCAGTTATGTCTGTGTTTGTCGGAAGAGTTACCGGTAGCTCATTTTGCATTCTATTGTTGGATTAGGTATTTTAATGTCAGTTCACAACAAAAAAATACATAACCACTGGCAGCTGAAAATGTGCATTTGCCTCAAGGCACATATTAAAGCGAGGGAGTCGTCACCTCCGCATGCGTTAGATGACCATAGCGTGTCATTGTTTACAAACAAGCGTCTACCCATGAGCTTTTGCGTTTTTAGTGTGTGTTGTTATCGTCGCTTGGGAAATTCCTGTGCACGCTTTAAACACATATTACCACTTTTCAAGCATCTCAATTTTATTGAACTGTGATGAAAACCTGCAATAACGTACCATAAAA